ATTATCCTGATTTTTTTAGATTATCCAACTACTATCAATATTAATGCTAAGCACAATAATAATAATAGAGTGTCAGGAAGGAGGATAGTGATTTAAGTAAGAAGTTAGCTGATTAATTTAAGTAATTTATTACATAAAGCAATATAGAATATGAAAAAGCGCCAAATGTAGCTGATTAAGTAGTTTGGGATTATTTTAATTGTAAATCATCCTTTTTTATGTTACCATATGCTATTGATGCATAACTATTGGATATTCTTAGATCTAATTAGCACATCAAGCTAATTTGCTTTCCTAGTATAATAGCTCCTTTTAAAAAAGAGACTTTATTTTAATCTATGAATTTCAATTCGGTTTCAAATGAAGTAACGCAAATTATTAATAGTTATATGAATTTAGTTTAGGCATAAAGTTAAGATAATCTGTTTGTAAGAATGAGTGTCTAATCTGTATAATGCAGTGATTTGGATGATAAATTTTGGAAATTAGCTGAATAACAAAAAAAAGGACCGATAATTGTAGATAGTGATGGTAATGTAACAAAGTAACAAGGAAACACAAAGGAAGCAGTTGGCTCGCACAGAACATCAATGTTGTAAACATTCGGACTTGACCTAAAAATGAAACCTAAGAACAAAGTATTTGATCAATCTCTTTCTCGATATAATGATGCTGTGAATGAACTAATTGACAAAAAAGATCAGAAGTTGATAGGAAATGTATTTCACTCTGATTTCTAAGATTTACTTACTAAAAGAGTGTAACAATCTACTTTCTATATACGGATAAGGAATTACTCGTACATAAGCAAGCTAAATGATATTAAATAAAAAATAAAATATTTGATATTTATTTATGTTTTCTTGTAAGTTTATATATAATAAAAATAATACGAATAATAATATTTTTTCATTTCTAAATATTCATCTACAATTTTGTTTTAGTATTTGGTCTACCTCGTTTCTTCTACACTTCAATGCTTTCTTCTTAAATCTATTATTGTTAAGTTGATTAAGTTTGTTGGTTTTCTTCTTATCCTGAGGATTATTCTGATGTTTTTGGAGCCTTTTTTGTTTGTTCATACATGCTAATGTCTTGTTTCTATGCTTATGAGGTTGTGTTTATCATACTTTGCAATTAATTTTTAATTTAAGGGTTTAACTAGTTTTATTAACCTTAACTTTATTAAGATTATCCATCTTCTTCATCACTAGAAATAGGATTGCTTATTTTATAATCATCAACACTATCTTCATCTATTCCATCTTAGGATCCGAATTCATTAGCTGAACCAACTAACTAACCTTGAGCATCTCTTTTGAATGCAAACTTACAATTATTGTCATCTGAAAGTTAATGTGATCGTTATTAATAAGGAACTAATTAATCTTCATCATTTCGTACATAGAATTATTATTCTAGTAGCATATCACAATCAAAACAATGCTCAGCCCATTGAGCACCTGTTTGATAAATAGTTCGAAATTTAATGACAGAACTATCATCCTTGTTAATAATACCAGGGAATAAGTCAGGTTTCAAATAAAACTAGGAATAAGTAGCATCTGATAGACCATCATATACTGATAAACTAAGATCTTTGAATCTAGTCGTTAAGTATGTATAGTTATTTTAATTGAATGTAAGAGGATCATTTAAATAGTAATTGAATGAGTGTAACTAGTTTACGATTTGTTAGACTGACTTAGCAATATTAGGAATAATTACGATTCTAGGCATAGTGTTAGATACTGTACTTATACCTTAACTGACAAATAACTAATCTTCTCCCGACTTCTTTTACTAGTATACATGTAATTCACTATTTAACATAAACAATTGTTTACACTTTACTTAAGCAGCTTTAAGTAATAATTAATCTAATAGCCAGTTGAATTAATCTGAATCGGTCTGTATTAGAATTAGCTTTGGACTATTCCCAGGTTAAAACAGTGACTAAATTTCATCTTATTGTTTTACTAAATTAGGATTCTAATTTGATCTAAGTTTTTATTATTCTTAATACCTTTTATCTATTTCGTCTCTTTGTTTTTTATTCTTAGCTGAATAAAGGTCATATATTAATTAATATTCGTTCTCTTCTATTGTTTCGTATACACAATTACATACACCACCTCTAAATGATTAGTTAACATTAGTAACTTTTTGTTTGGCCGCTTTTAGTGTTTCGAACATACTTTTTTCTTATTTCAATAACTTATCAAATGTTGTTTTTGTTATTATTTATTAACAAGATACTCTTTTGATATCATCGTGATTTTGATATTTGGAGAAGTCTAATAATACACAAGGAATATAGAACAAAGTAGCATTTTCCGAATCCTATGTGTAGTCAGGTTAGACAAAATTATAGTCAACCATTGTTTATAATAACTAATATAAAGGAGTATTTGGTTTATTATAAATTTTATCTTAGTCTGCCTTAGTTATCCACTAATCTGATTATCTACATCTGAGAGAATGTTTAAGAGAACTAGCTGAGCCATCTGCAATTTCTTGTTTAAATGGCTATATAAATTGAGTAATTAGTTTAGTATTCCAGTCTTGAATTGTGTTTATATCTAGCTAAGTTGGATTGCATTCTATGATGGCTCTAGTTAATTAAGATAGAGTAGTTCTCTACTTAAGCACTCTTACTGATCTGTAACATTCTGGAACTGTTGTTGTATAAGAAAGTTGTATGTGTTACTATCCAATTTAAGCATCACTCTGTTGGGATTCTTCATTTATTATTTACTTATTTTACTACATTTGTTTTTGTTAGTTTTTTGATCGTATTCTTCTGTTATTACTTTCAACCCATTCCATCCATTTTAATAAATGGACTAGTTCTGCGACGTGACTAAGTTCAGTAGTTAATTAGTACGATGTATTAGAAGTAGTCATTATAAATGTTACAATGACGAGTTATGTTGATAAATCTATTTCTGAGTTTTTAAAAAAGAAATCTAAAAATGTAGCACTATTATCACTAAAATTATTAAGAATAGAAGTGGAATACTTTTCATAGTTATTAGTAGAATTTGTATTTTTAGATTCCGTAAAAGTCAATATCACTTACTTTAAGTCAGACATTATGAGCCATCCTCTCTAAGATATTAAACGTTAGAATGATATCTTATATTTCATAGTTTATCTATCCAATTCGGTATTAATTTGTTTATTTTAATGGTAAAGTAGTAGTTTTTGTTGATAAGTATTTCTAAGTGATTCCGCATAACCTTAATCAAATTTCATGAT